GGTTATCATTTTTAAAAACCCTATTTTAAACCAAACAAGACAGACTGATGACTTTTTATCTGATGAAGACTAATGGATATTACGCGTAAGGTTACCCACCGTTCAACAAGTATTGTTCATCGTTATCTATAGAAGACTCGGTTGGCATTTGCCAACTTGAGACATCTGTGGTACCGGCGCGATATCCGGCTGGTTGTGAAGGGTTGAGTAAGAGCTGCAGCAATTCGGCCAGTGCTGCTTTACGGTGCAGAGACTATACGGGAACAGGATAAAAATAGATTGTCGGTGTTTGAACAACGCTGTCTACGTAGCATTGCACTGAACGAAACCGGACAAGTAATACTGAGATTAGGCGTAGAGTTTTAGGTAATCGCGGTCGTCCACTAGTGCAAGTGGTCGACCTCCATAAATTACACTGTTTGGGATATGTGTCGCGCATGTCACCAGATAGGTTGCCACGGAGCGCGATGTTTGCCGAGGCAGGTAGAAGTTAGAAAAAGGTCAAGGGTGACCAAACTAAGACCTGACGTGAGGTTATGGAAACCGTAACCAAGAGACTGGTTCACATAGACCGCGTTAGGTTCCCTAGATGAGAACCCCGAGATCATGGTAACCGGCGGCTAGAGACACTGAGTGATATGGCTGTGGAGCAAACAATGGCGCTCGCTCGCCCACTCATAATCACTGCAAACTTAGTCCATGTGACTTCTCTATTTTCTCCTCGACTCTGTTCACAACATGCCAAATATTCTGTTTCCTTATCCAAATGGGCAGTCAAAGGAAAGCAACCAAAACCGAAGCATGAAAATGCACGGTTATTGCTTGTGAAAACTGTAACTATTCATCATTATCAATGTTCATTGAGTCGGCATTCAAAACTAGCACTTCCCCATCAGCTGTGTACCAATTAGCGACTTGTCAAGATTTATGAACCGTCTACAGGTTACCGTGAGAAACACTTCTGGCAAATGAAGAGAAACGGCAGAACATAGGGCGAAGGCGTGAATGAAACCAGTCTCGTTTGTGGTCAGAAAAGCTGCTACTAAACAAAGGTTAAAATATTTAAAAGGTGCGCACTCCCAACCGCTTTCCCGTTCATTCGCATGCAATAAGGATCTCCATGTTTACCGATCTACACGATACGAACAAAACGNAAAATGAAACCGAGACTTACATGATTCCATCCGAGGGGATACCGAGTAGGCCCATTAGAAATGCAAACACTCCGATAAATGCCACCGGAGTTAGCCAGGACGTATAAAACCCGAGCCAGGCAAAATAGAATCCAACTGCTTCACCGAAATAATAACTGAACGCCGACAAGATTGTGAAAGTGGTGAAGAAACGGTTAGTCTTCAATTCGTAGAAATGGATAGTAGGAATATGAACATAACATATGACAGATTGGAGGTAATTCAAGAAGGCTGACGGTGAAAGACAGTCAGTTCGAATACAAAAACAAGACAATAATCTGAACATGTAATTCGATAGGACCCCGATGGATTAGGAGAATGCACAATTCTCTATTTTCTCTTTGGCACTACCCTTAACATTCTACATAATCATCGCTTTCTCCTCGTCTAAATGAGCAACCAAAAGACAGAAACCAAGACCGCCCCATCATGATTGTAAAAGCTAAACTATGCATACCGATGGTCACAATTCAGTGCATTGTCCTAACTGTCCGACTATACAATGGGTAAGCGGCCAGATGATCATGACAGAGAGGAGGAAATTCGATCCATCCAAATACTTGCAGGTAGATCGGAACAAGCTTGGATGCTAATGCTGACAATACGGAACCGTACTGCCTCCAAAAGCCTCAGTATGGTTGGGGTAGGAGTCTTGGGTTGTGACTGGTCACCCTTCGCTGCTCCTCAAGAAATGCTCCTGTACGACAGAGTCTAAAACTGCCTGGGTTGAGGAAACCCTACCCGCTGCCTTCTCGTGGAGGAGGCGCTTTCCCACCATAGTGAGAAGACGAAAAGCCGAAAGTCGGGGTTATAACCAAGTCCCTGAACCCCTAGCAGTTCAACTAAGTTGGCCAAAAACCCTGATTTCAAACCAACCAAGAGGAGGCGTACGAACCACATTCGCCCACACCTTGGTTGTGGTAGTCGCTGTCGGCTAGATTGCGCACTGAGGTGTATTGGGCACCTTTTACATTTGACCCCGTTCAGGGGGAGGAGAGGATATGATCCGATGAACAAGACACCGGGCCCCAATAGATTGCGGTTTTCACACACCACCCCGCTGGCCTGCGGGTAGAACTTCGTCTAGTCATAAGCTTCGGTTGTGAATTCACCAAGAAAGTTCACCTGGCTTGGTCTGGGTAACCTGGCGGTACTTCGACCACAAACAAATCGTGAGCCTTTCTCTTCTTTGGTGCACAATCTGGCTTCAGATGTGTGTGTTTGTGTGTGTGTGTGTGTGTGTGTGTGTGTGTGCAATACACATACCATACTACTGACCACCACCACTTAGCCAACCCGTGCAGCACTTCGGTTGAGGTTAGATACGTAATCCAATTCACGGAATACAACTCCATACAATGGAAAAGACATTTTAAACCAATATTTTGGGCCGTAAAAGATGGCATGGTTGAAATAAACATGGTCTCGCAGTGCATATGAACAAGTTAGACATACAGAGCAGTTACGCTTTCTAGGAATGCACACAAACCTGGAAGTGATTACAGTTTCACATTGTTTCAACTAATCGCATTACCTTGTGCTAAATGAAGACACTACCAGTACGCACGTCCGAAGATATTACTGACGTTCAACGATCAACACCGAAACGAAATGGTCATGGACTCAGATACGGTTATGAAACAGTTGGACTGAATCTACACACTAATAAAGATTATCGGGAATAACGTAACCAGTGATCACCAAAACCAGTATACCAACAATCACGCAGCAGGACCGACATCCTGTCTTGCCCTCGAGAAGTATCTGCTTCCTCAAGATTGTGAGGAGTCAGGTTCGTACACAAATATATGCTCTCGTTGAGCACCTCTGGAAAAGAATATGTTGAAATATTTAACTCAGTTAATTGTCATATAAGGATGGTTGCTCGAAAGAGGGCAGGGGGGTGCGCAAGACTTCAATATTCGGGGGCTTACCGCGTTGATGAGC